GCAGTGGGGTCGGGCCCCAGCCCTGGGGTCCTGGGTGCCCTTGGCTGCTTTGTGGGCAGGGCTGCTGCCTGGCCCTGTGACTCCTGGTGTGCTCTGGTCTCCAGGTGTCTCCAGGGCCACCTGCACCTGGCTAGAAGGTAGGGGATAATTTGGATCTGCATGCGCCCCTTCCTGGCTGGGTCACCAGGCCAGTGCCTGGCCCCACTGCGCAGATGAGAGGACCGAGGTCCGTGGTGTTCTATGCCTTGCCAAGGGGCTGCTGCCTGCGGCGCAGTTGGATGGAGGGTCCGGGCGGCCTCACGCCCCTGCAGTGCCCGAGCATGCCTCTAAACCTCAGAGGTCCCGATGAGCTGGCCCTGCTGTCACTCCACCCGCTGGGGCCATCTTGCCCATCTCTCCTTTAGCCCTCAGGGCCCTAGCACCCAGCACGGCATCGGGTGGAGGACAGGGCAGGCCATTGAGGGGAGGAGGGCCTCAATGAGCTTGTCTGTGCTGGGCTGTCCAGCTGGGCTGGTGGCGGGTACATGGCCCCGGGGATGGCGTGCCGGCTGGTGCTAGGTGGGCTGGGCTGTGCCCTGCTCCCCTCCCTTGAGGCGGGGGAGGAAGGCTTGGGTGGCGAGGGCCCCTGAGAGCTGTGGCTCCTCGGGATGGGGGTGGTCCAGGGCTCCTTGTGAGTGGACCAGGGAAGGTCTAGGCCTTCATTGAGCTGTCCGCTGGGTGGGAGGCCATGGGGCAGCCGAGGGGTGACCGGCCGGTGTCCAGGCTAGACTGTCCAGCCCCTGGCTCCTCAACCCCGCCCGCCAGGCTGTGTGAGATATGGAACATCCTCAACAGCGGGACCTGCCCAGCAGCCGGGGGTCCCTTCCTGGACCTGTTGTCAACTCCGGAAGCAGTGGCTGCACGGGGTCACAGCCCAGCACGCTTTGTTTAGGAAGGGAAGGGAGGGCAAGGTGGAGGGGCTGGGCCGGTGGGGTCCGCGATCTGGGCTGCCCACACATGCATGCCTGACTGTGTGGTGGGGCGGGGCCCAGGTCCTTCCATGGGAGCTGGCACCCCTTTTGCGGAGTCGGGTGACGGGGGCTCAGTGAGGGTGTCACACAGCCACTGCCTGGTCTCCTGGATTCTCTGAACTGGGAACAGGACCTCTCCCCTCCCCCTATGGCAGCCTCAGCTGGGGGAGGGGGTGCTCTGGTCAGCTCTTGTCTGTCCTATGGGGGTGGCTGGGTGGACTCTGGAGCTGGGAGACTTCTCTCCCGGTGGTGACAATGGAGTCGTCCCCGGTAAAGTCCCTCCGGGCCTCCCAGGCAGGAGAAAATGGAAGGATTACTTAAGGCAACTCAGAGACGCAGAAACAAAATAAAAATGAAGTCATCATTTTTAAGTGGGGGGAGGCTCCCTAAGCCCAGGCGTGTGGCCGGGGAGCTGGGGGGGAGGGAATGGGGGGAGGCGGTGAGGAGGGAGGTGGGCTGTGCATGATGCTAAATTGAATCAAATGAAGAAAAACATTTTCCAAATGCAAGTAAAATATCTGTTTAATTAGACCATAAAGAGGAAATTAAAAGTAATATTTTTCAGTGGGGTAATTACTGTCTTCCTGAAGGCATGGGGCTTTGGAGGGCTAGGTGACAGGCAGGCTTGGTGGCTGGGGCTTCCAAGGGTCCAAATTCCTGAAACTGGATGCCAGAACCCTTCTGGAGCTTGGGTCTGTGGCTCCCAGAGGGGCCTGGCCTGGCTGTCGCCCTCACAGAGATCTTGGAAGGTACAGGAAGTGGCCCAGGCTGGATTTGCTATTGGGGGGTGTGCCGTGGTGTGGGGGTGGACGGGGCTGCAGGACACCTTTGTCTCTCTGAGGACCTTGTGTGGGACCAAGAGAGGCCGCTCATGGGGAAGACCATCCCGAGGTGTCTGACCTGGAGTCACCAGTGTCTGCCCCCCGGAAGAGGTGCCTTCCCTGAGCTCTTCCTGGGAGCCCTGCATGAGAGTCAGGGGTGTCGCCGGGGGATCTGGGCTCTCCTGCTGCAGCCCCAGAGCATGCTGGGCCCCGGGCTGATGTGGCAGACAGAGGCCTCGGGTCCCCTGGAGTGAGGAGTGTGGTTCTGAGGGCCCCGGGCGTGCAGCGAGGGCCTAGACCGCCTGGTATGGGTCTGTTTCTACCCTGTGCTGTGCCTGGCCTGGCTGCCTGGTCCATGCAGGGCTTAAGGCCAGGACCCTGGGCTCCATTCAGAGTTGGTGCTGTGCTGCCCAGGCTGGTCTGTCTGGTTCTCTAGCCTCTGCCTCATCTCAAGTATGTGACCAGAGTTGGAGAGACAGCCCCTGCCCGGTCCTGGGGCATCTGGCTGGGCCCTCTGGGCTGGGGCATCAGACTGGGCCCATGGAGACTGCTTGGCTGGGGTGAGCGTGGTGAGAATCCCCAGAACTGGGTCCCGGGGAGGGGTGCATGACCCAAAAGTGATCTTTGACCGTGGGGTCCGGCTTCCAGGGTTGCATGCTGTGGAGTAGGACTTGGGGTGCCTGGCAGCTGCTGGAGAGGGTGTGCTGGCCCAGAAGCCCAGGCTGCCTGCTGACTTGCGTGGGTGGCTGGGAAGCCTTGGGCTGTCCCCTCAGTGGAGGCGTGAGCTGGATGGGCCACCCCACCCTGCAGACCCCCATGGTTCCCACCTGATGTTCTGAGGCCTGGGTAGGGCTGGGCCTTCCTGGCAGCTGCTGCCTGAATTCCTAATGACCAACTTGATGGGGACTTGGGTGGGGGGCACTGGGCTGGGGCTACTGTAGCTTCCTGTCGCCTTTTCCCTGCCTCCTCCGGCTTGGCCAGGCCACTGGGGGCTGGAGCATTCTCGGGTCATCGGTCCCTCTGCTGCTCTACCCTCCAATTTCCTTCCTGCCTCCTGCTGTGCAGTCTGGGGAGGGCTGCGGCAGAGGGCTGGGGGCTCCTCCAGAGACCTAAAGCCCACAAGACTGGCAGAGACCTCCTGGACTGTCCAGAGGCCCCAGAGCAAGGGGCTGCTGGACCCGAGGCCCGAGCTAGAGCTGGATGGGGGTCTAGGTCTCTCAAGCCCGGCTCATGGCTCCGGTGGGTGGGGGCTTCCTTCCCCTTCATGCTGGCTCCATCAGCAGCCTCCTGCCACGTGGAAAATCAGCGTAATCCAGTCGGGACTGGAAAACAGGCCTGTGTGCCTCAGCCTATGACTGGGGACTGAGGCCAGGGCCGGGCGGGTGGCAGTGGCTGCAGTCCCCGAGGGCGTCTGGGGTCCACATGTGGACCTGCGTGTGGGCCTGCGTGTCCATCAGCTGTGTCGGCGGGGCTGAGGGAGGGGCCTGCCACATCAGACCCTGGTGGGCCCCTCCCCCTCTGCTGGGCCTCTGAAGGCTGACCTCAGCGAATTCCCATGGGGGCGTGGAGGGCGTGGGGGCACCAGCTTATTGGGACCAGACACGCCAGGCGGGCGCTTCAGAGCTCTGTGGCCCTGGCTGGAGGAAGTCCAGGCCTTCCGGAGTGGCCATACATCAGGCAGCTGGGCCCGGCGGGGGTCACCCTTTCATGCCACCTGGCCTGCCTAGGGAGAATGACTGCAGGGAGCCTGGGGCGGTCCTGGGGACAGGAGAGCACTGGTCACCCTGTGGCCGAGGGCCCAGCCGGCCATGGGACAGGCACAGGGAGCATGGGTGGGGTGAGACACCCTTTTGGGATGATGGTCTCAGCTTCCTCATCTGAGAGGTGGGCATGTTTGAGGAGGCTGTGGTCCCTTTTGTGGCCCAGGGTAACAGGATTGGAGCCAGGTCTTGCCTGGAATCCCCTAGGGGTCACGTGGCCGGCCATGGAGCAGGGAACTCCTTGGGGCCAGGACAGGAAGGAGGCCCAGGCTGGGGTGAAGGGGACGGAGTGGGGCTGGCAGAGTCGACCTGCTGGCAGGGTCCTCGAGCTCCGGCAGAGTGGCGCTTGGAAAAGCCCTGGGTGGATATGGCCACAGCAGGGCTGGACAGGTGCTGTTCCAGGGCCTGCTGGGCCACATACCCTATAGTTGGGGCTCGAGCCTTGAGGAGGGTAGACAGATGCCAATGGGTGGGGCTGGGACCAGAGCAGGACAGATGCTGGCCTTGGCTCAGACCGTGACTTTTGCAGAGCTGCCCCAGACTGGGGCAGAGACAGAGCCTGGTGGGGGCGGTTAAGGGCCACAAGAGGGCCACAGGAGCAAGCCTCTCAGCAGTTACCTTCGTGGTGAGATTTGCTCTGCATATTGTCTCCTTCCTTCTCCTCCTCCTCCTTCTGAAAGGTGCCACCTCTTCCAGGAAGCCCTCCCTGTCCTTGAGTCCGGGCGAGGAGCCTCCTCTGGACTCCCCTGGCTCCTATTTTCAACCATCTCTGGACACCAGTCTCATGGCTAGGGGGGCTCATGTGTCCCCCAGCTCAGACCCGAGGGGGCGTTCCCACCTGTGGGGGGAGGTGCGCTGGCGCCTGGCCACACCTCCCATGTCTTCCTCTCTGGCATGACCTCATCTGCCCTCTGGGTGCTTCACTGAGTGCTGGGACTTCTGTGGACGTGTGGACAGCAGCCCCAGATTTCATTTTCCTCCTGATCCTGACGGGTCCTCGGGGGTGGGGGGCAGGTTCCAGCCCCCCAGCTCAGCAGGAGGGAGTGTGAGTGAGGAGACCCTGGTGGTTCTGGAGAGGACCTGCCTCTCGCCAGCCTGCTGGTCCTCCCTCGGCTGGCTGCCTGTGCTGATGGCGGTCCAGTCGTCAGGGAGCCAAAAGCCCGTGGATTGGGGGGGGGGGGGGGGGGGGGGGGCGACGTGGGGTGGTGGGCCATCAGCAAGGGTACCTCGAGCCTCCTGCTCAGCCCCCATCGTTATTTTCCTTCCCTCATGCTGGTGAAGCAGCCGGGACTGATTGATCAGTGACGGATGGCACCGCAGCTGCCACCGGAGTGCGCGCCATCACGAAGGGTGAGGTGCGGGAGGCTGGCCCCAGCACTGATTGTGGCTTTGTCCCTTCCTGTCCTCAGGATCCCTGCCTCTCAGCCCTGCTCCTCGACAAGCTCCCAGCACCCGGGGCCCTGCCTGCCTGCCGCCCGGAAGCCGAGCGCCACTGTGACGTCTGTGCCACACACCTGCAGCAGCTCACGCGGGAGGCCTGGCACCTGCTGCAGGGCCCTGCCAGCCATGAGGACCCGGACACCCCGCACGGAGGCCCCACCGCCCCCGGTGCTGGTGCCGTGACGAGCCTGAAGGACACTCCAGGCCCAGTGGGCCCAGCGGGGAGGCAGCCGGGCAGGGCGGTCCCTGACAGGATGAAGGGGCTGGCCTGGCCTCCTGGGCCCAGCGTCCAGGTGTCGGTGGCACCAGCGGGCCTGGGAGGGGCACTGAGCACCGTCACCATCCAGGCCCAGCAGTGCCTGGAGGGCATGTGGAGTGTCTCTCGGGTCAACAGTTTCCTCCCGCCCTCATGCCTGGTAGGTGTCTTGGGCAGGGTTGGGGGCTTGGGGGACTGCTGGCCTTCTGGGACCGCCAGGCGGGGCTGGCGGTAGCTTGGTCTGAACGGGGCTCCTCTCCAGGGTCTCTGTCTACCTCTGGGTGCCTGCAGTTCGGTGGCCTCTGCGGGAGGGTGCTGTGGGTGTCGGGGGTCCTCGGACACTCCTGGGGCCCCACATGTGCTCCTCCCTGGATGGGCGGGGGGGCAGGACGCTCTTGCATCCCCAGGAGCCACTGTTGGGGACTGTTTGGCTAGCCTTGCTCCAGAGACCCCTAGTGAAGCTGTGGGCTGACGGGTCCTCCAGGGCTCCAGGAATGAAACAGACCTGCATCCCTGGGGCTGGGGTGAAGGGGTGTCTCTGTAAGAAGCCCGCCATGCCAGGCCACCCCCAGGGCCACGGCCTAGGTGACACGGACACGCCATGTGGACAGGCGACACAGCCTGGAGCAAAGGCTGAGGCCTGCTGGGACAGCAGGGGTTCAAACCCGCCTCCATGATGGGCCTGGCCTCTGGGGCGCTGCCTTCACTCAGTTGACTGATTGGAGAATGCGCCTCAAACCTTCCCTCCACACGGGGCTCACCAGGGGGACCCTGGTGTGTGTCTGGGGCTGTCCTCTTAGCAGCAAGCCTGGCTCCCTGGGCAGGTGTGGGGCCCTGCGGCGAAGTCCTCTCTCCTAAGTGCTTTCGGCATCCCCAGGATTTCCATCTGGGAGAAGGGGTCCCAGGACGGAGGGTCAGGAGAGGGTGGGCTGTGGGGTCGGGCTGTGGGGTCGCTGGCGGGAGTTATTCAGGGTTTGGGGAAGCTGCGACGGGACCCGGGGCGGGCCTTCCCCGGAGGGCACATTAGCTGCTCCTCACAAACCCTGCCCGACATGGGTGTATCTTCTCTGGGGAACTGTGTCCCTGTTGTGAGAATGGAGGTTGCAGGCACAGGGCTGACTATGCCTGTTGTTCTGGAGATCCAGGTTTGCAAGGCATACTGGGTGGAAAGGACCTTCCCGGCAGAGGGAGTGGCTGGTGTGGAGGTATGGGGGGCGCAGACCGGTGGGGATGGGGCAGGGGTAGGTGAGGGGACAGCAGACCCTTGGTTGTGCTGCACAGTTGTGCATGGCTGCATGGAGAAGGCTCCCTGCCTGCCCTGTGGATCCCTGGGTCTGTGGCCAGTTGGGAAAGCCGAGTTTCTGCTCTCCACATGCTCCGGGCACCATGGAGCTGTCTCATAAGCTTGCTCCGTGATGGTGCCTCCAAACGGGCAGGCTGTCTCCCTCTGTCTCCAGGCCTAGTGACGTTTCCTGGGGTGGACAGAGAGGCACAGGGAGACTGCAGATCCCACATGGTGCAGGACAGACCCTGCCCCACCTCCGGGCATGCTGGCCCCACTGGGTTGGGAGACAGTGTCTGGGTGTGGAGTCCTGCTGCAGGTGGGAGCTATCCCTGGGGCTGGTGGCTGAGGCCCGGGCTTCCCAGGTCGCCCTGTCCTTGGGGTCAGGGTGCACAGGGGCACTGGCCACCAGCTGGTGCGACGATCCCACAGTGGCCTGCTACTCCTGGCTTTGGCACCACACTCTCAGGTTATTAACTCTCTGGTGTAGCCAAGAAGCAAGAGGTCAGCTCTGAGTGGGGAGCAGGTTGGCTTCCTGGTAGAGGTGGTATTGAGTTGGATCTGGAGGGGAGCTTTAGACCCAAGACCCAGGCTGGTGGGGCACAGATGTCCTCACTCCTCCTTCCGTCCCCCTGGCCCAGGAGGCCCCATCGCCAGCCTGTCCCTAGCCGTGTGTCTGACAGCAGATCCAGCAAAGCCGGCATTGGTGGTCTTGATGCCTCCACGCGGGATGGGATGGAAGCTGCGGGGAAGGGGTCACTGGCCTCTTGCTGGGCAGCTCTGCCGGTGGCCAGCACATCATAAAACATGGGCATTTAAGGCACCCTCTCCCAGGTTTATGTGTCGGGGTGGGCAGGAATGGATTTATAATTAGACAGCAACCCTGGCGATCAGCGGGTCGATGATTAGAGCCATGAGTAGTGTTCCAGGGTGCTCCCTGCCCAGCATTGATCTCTGGGGGTAGAACTGGAATGGTGATGCTGCCTGCCGGATGCAGAGTTGGGTTCTCCTGGAGAGACACACTGTGAACCCCCGCTGGCCACCGGCCATGCTGCCAGAGGGACTGTTTTGAGGCAGACATTGATCTGTGACCAGCAGGGGGGGACAGGGCAGGCTGCAGCCCCTCTGTTCTAGGGCACGCAGAGGAGGGGGGTGGACGCCTTTATTTAGGCTGAGACCTGGTGACGGTTGCTGGAGACTGTGACTGGGCCTGGCAGGAATGCTGGTTCTCGGAGGGGTAGTGGATGACCCAGGCTCCCGGGGCCCCAGAAGCCATAGGCAGGCCCTGGGACATTTCACATCTTGAGTGCCAGTGATACTTCTGGGGTGTGGACCTGCCCAGCAGGGCTGGCCAGCAGTTCTTTCCAGACTGTTGGGTGGAGGCAGCTCTGCTACTATGGAGGCCAGAGGTTGCCAGAGCTAGGCTCTGGGTCTGTGCCCTGCCTAGTCTGCCCTGAGAACACTGGAGAGTGGTCATGAGGGTCACCCCCCACTGCCGTATGCCAGGCTTTGCCATCAGGGACCACCAGGGCCTGGGACACACTGTGAACCACAGCTTGTTTTAGACCCAGATGCCATGAGACGGAGGCTTTGGCCTCCTGAGCCCTCAGTGGACGCCCACCAAGGGGCAGTCCAGTGACCAGTGAGGAGGACCAGAAGGTGACATGGGCCAGGGCATCGGACGGGAGTCAAGTGAGGAGGGTGGATGCTACCACGCCGAGGGGCCCTGCAAGCCTTCCTGAGTCCACAGCACACAGGCTAGGCTCCGAGAGGTGGTGCAGTGGAGGCCTGGCCTACTGGAGAGGATGGAGAGGTTCGTGGGAGGTGCTGCTGTGGCCTTGAAATTCGGAGTGGGAAGTCATCTTGGTCTCTCCGCCAGGGTCCCTCTGCCCACAGTGGTTGGGTGGCACCAGCTTGGGGGTTCCTGCATTCCTTGTGCTGGGCACTTGGTGGGTACCCCCCTGCCCTCAGGCTGGATGCTTGGGATACGGGGAGCTTTGGCTGGGTTCCGTCCGGGCTCTCTGTTCCCCGACCCATTGCTGGGGCCCCCATGCAGGCCTCAGTTTACCTCCCCGCAGAGCGGAGGGTGGATAGAATGGTGCCCTCTCCACATGAGGTTGCAGAGAACCCTCAGGGCCAGACAGGCCCAGGCAGGGGTGGGACTTTCCCAGCTGGGGGCTGTCCATGCCTGTAAGCTCTTTGAGTGATGAGGCTGGAGCCTCCGGGGGTGGGGAGCTGCCCCGAGGAGGCTCTGGAGATGGGGACACACGCCCGCGGAATGGTGCCCCACGCCCCATGCGTGGGTGAGGCTGGCATCTGTGTTTAGCCCTGAGCTGAACAGCACCTGGTGACGTGTTTGTCATCTTTCAGGAAGGGTGGGTGTCGCCCATGCGCCAGCATTTTACAGACGTGGGGTTCTGGTTTGGGGGGGAAGTGGGCCGGTGTGGTGGTTCCTAAAGTGTGCTCCACGGAACCCCAGTGTTCCTTGAGGTTGGCAGGTTCTCTGGGAAGGCTGCCGCCTGGGTGGGTCCCGCTGGGCTGTGCTCGGGCCGCCGCCTCACGCGCTGCTCTCTCCTCGCTTTCCTTTCGTTGCTGCTGTGGCGCCCTCCATCACATCTTCTGTTCGGCCGCCCACCCCCTCTCTGCTCCCCTCGTGTTGTGGTCTTCCCTCTCGCCGCCCTCCCCCGCCCCGGCTCTCGCTTCGCCAGATGGCTTCTTTTCGCATGCCTGGGCTCTGCTTCTGCCAGGAATCGGCCGTGGCCGTCCCGTGGGACGGAGCCTGTCCCGGCAGCGCGTGCGTGGGACGGTGGAGCCGAGGCGTGTGCGGGACTCCTGAGACAGGTCAGTGCGGGAGGCCCGGCCGCAGGCCTGCAGCGTTGTGGGCTGGAACCTTCTGGCTGGAGGTGGAGACGCGGGTGGCTTGGGACCGTGGGAGAGCGGGGAGGGGCCTGCAGGGTCATGGGGCGGCAGCTCTGTCTCCTTGTGACCCCTGCAGCCTTGGTCATTTGTGTCCAGCCGGGCAGGCAGGGTGTCCTGGTGCCTCAGTGAGTGGCGTGATGGGCCTGGCCCAGGTGCCAAGTATGGTCCCCATGGTGGTGTCATCACGGGGCTGGAGGCCAGCCAGGTACCAGGTGGGCTGCCAGTTATGCACCCCCACCCCGGTGCTCAGCCAGGCTCAGCTCTGCTCCCTGGAGCTCAGGCCCGGGTGGTCGTCTCATCACTTTAAAATTAACTCTGTCCTACCACACTTTGCTCAGCAAAGGAATTTAGGGCTTTCACAGGGAACACATATATTGAGTGATAAAAAAGGGCATTCATACTTGAGGTGAGGGAGTGGCATAGAGAAGGTGAGGATTGGTCAGGCCGGGTTTGGAGGGTTCTGTAGGAGTTCTGCCTTGCTGGCAGGTGGTGGGATGTGGGATGTGCTGGCTCAGTGCTGGTGAGCGGTTCCAGGTTCACCCTGCTTTTTCAGGTTCGCCCTTTTCTGCTACTGACCTGTCCTTGAAGCCCGGGGGAGTGGTCGGTGCTCCAGGGGCTGCGGGGTGGGGAGGTGCTCAGCTTCCTTTTCAGACAGTGTTCTGTTCCGTTTCCCAAGAGGGGTTTAAAAGTGAGTGCTGGCCGTGGCTTGGGCAGGACGACCCTCCACTGTGGCCAAGAGGGAAGCTGCCTTGGGGCAGCCAGGTCTTCTTCTGGAACATTCCTCCCGGGGCCCAGGGTGGCTTGTTCTGTTGACATGTCATGCCTGGCCTCTGGCCTGGGCCACTTGGGAGACCCTGGGGAGACTGGGCACTCCAGAGCCACCGCTGGGCTCCTCACAACCCTGTGTCCTCTCAGCATAGGGACCTCTGCCAGCCTGGGCACAGAGGATGTTTCGGGTGGTATTTGTTGACTGGATGCTTGGGCTGAGTGGAGCTGGTGCCCCTGGTGCCCAGGGGACCCTGGTAGGGCTGGGAGCAGTGGGCCCTTGTGGGTGGGAGGCTGAGGCCTGCTGCCTGGGGTTGGTTGCATCCCCGCACCCCACCCAGGGCCAGTCCAGCTCAGGGTCCAGGGCCGACATGTGCGTGTGAATGTGATCTGCAGAGGCTTCGAATTGCTGGCCTGTCCTGGGGCATTGAATTACGTGCGCTGAGGCTGTCTCCCTTTCTGGAATTTATTTTAGCTAATTAGTTGGAAATGCCAGAGTAGTATTTCACACTGCGGGAGCATGTATGTTATCCTACGTGGGGCAATTAGCGCTCCTGCCAAATATTTATTGTGGTTTCCTCTCTAATTATGCCTGTGGGGCTTCCAGATGGCCCCGGGGTGAGAGGGGTGTAGGGGTTCGTGTCCAACTACCGTGGCTGCTGTGGTCCCTGTGTTCCTGGAGCTTGAAGGGGGAGGGGTGGGACATCCTCTCCGGGTGGTCTGTGTCCACCTCTGCCTGCACAGGGCTCTGCCGGGCAGACTACTCACATACCCAGGGCCAGGACCTTGGTCCTCATGCCTTTCCCGTTGGCCCTGTCCCCCAGCCCCGACTCCTTGGTCCTCCCTGTCATGCTGGCTGGGTCCTGTGGGTTTGGGCCTCGGGGCAGTTGGCCTCTCTGCTCACCCACCTGCTCCTCACACGGACTTTCTCCTTCCCTCCAGGCAGAGGCGGCGGTGGCTGCGGTGGCAGTAGCAGACACAGTCCGAGACGGGTCCCCTATGGCGGGCCCTGATGGCTTGTCGAAGGCCTGGGGCCGCGCTGGGGCCTGCACGTCAGCCCTGATCACCCCAGCCCCGGGCTCCTCGGCTGGGGGCTCCACAGGCCCTTCGGCCGCAGCCTCCTTCTTTATAAGGTACGTCTGGACAGCAGCTTTGGAGTGACTGTGTGTGGGTGGGCGTGGGGGCCTTCGACTCCTGGCTCTGGAGGCGGTGGACTGTTCCTGGGAGGCCCCGTGGCCTTGTCGGTCTCTGAGTTGAGTGGATATAAGTGCTCACAGCTGCTGAGCTGCTTTTGGCAAAGGTTTAGCTGGCCTCCTAGACCCCGTGCAAAGATGGTGCTTGTCCCGTAGGTGTGGACACTGCCAGGGAGAGGCCGTGGGGTCAGGGGCAGGGTCCTGCCTGGGTTGGAGCTCTGTCCTTAACCGTTCAGAGCTGTGCAATCGTGGGCAAGTCATGGAAACTCTCTGTGCCTCAGTTTCCTCCCCTTTCAGCTGGGGTCCTCTTCACAGAGCCATTTCGAGGTATGGTAGGTGAATGTCTCTGCAACCGTGGACATCAGGGCCTGCCCTGGGCTGGCGCGGGCTGGGTTCCTGGAGGTGACACAGCTGACCTTCAGGGGAGTTCCAGCAGCCAGGGAACACAAGGGGAGGGATGGGGCCGGGGGCTGGGGAGAAGGCTGCAGGGGCTAGAGGGACCCCTGCCTACCGCTGCCTCTCTGTTGGTGGACAGCCACAGCCCAGCAGAGCTCGTGGGCGGCAGGTCTAGCTCTACCAGGAGCCAGGAGCATCCTGTGGTGGGGTGGCCATGTCTCATGTCGTGGGGCTCCTGTTTCAGGCCCTGAGCTTGAGGTGCCCCGCTTTGGGCTCTTGAGATGCCTAGCTTGGGGCCTGCAGACACCAGGTCCTGGTCCTGGGGATATCAGCCAGGGTGGATATGGTGCCCAGGCAGAGGGAGCAGTGTGAGTGAGGGTAGGGGTGAGCCTGTAGGAGCTAGGTGCCTGCAGGACTGTGTCCTGCCATGAACAGTCCTACCCAGCCCCCCACAGGGCCTTGGTTCTGCCGAGACTGGCGAGCCCCCCCACCCCCGCCAGTGGTGTGAGACTGTGGATTACAGGATGTAATCTTGGTAATGAGTGGTAATGGCAGGCCGGGCCGTGGGTCACTGTCCCATTAGCAGCCCCATGCGGGTGCTGATAAGCTTGTCCATGGATCACATGCGGGCAGCCAGGGTGGAGGGCGCCTTATCAGCGCCAGCCCGCGGGGACTGTATGTCCTGATTGGAGAGTGACGGGGCATATGATTAGGGCCTTGTGTGTGCTGGGCTGATGGACACACCACGCGGTGGAGCACGAGCAGCCGCTGCGTGTGACCCGTGTGGTCTCTGCTGGGTGAGGGCGGGTTGGTATCATGCCCAGCCCACTCAGGGATCCCCCTCCATATCCATCAGCAGTCAGCAGGGGACAGGGAGCAAGCGGGGGCAGATCCATGGGGGCCGGCCACACCCGGCCTGCTTTGTCCCGCTGGGAAGGACCTCTCTGCTGGCTTTGGCCGTGGCCCTGGTGGCCGTGCTCCTCTGGGCTGTGCTTGGTGGGAGGATTTGAAAGACTGAGACGTTTAGCAAAGAAGGAACAGCTCCAGTGGCCCCAAGTGTCTGCCCCTGTGCCGAGCCCCCCATGTCCTGGGGGGAATCTGTCCCCAGGCTGTGCAGGTCAGGGTGTTGGCCCCCCAGCCTGGTTCACCGGGGACCCAGAGTCCCTGCAGAGCCGGTGCTGCTGCCTTTTGTCTGGGAGCCGAGGCCCGTGTTGCCTGTGCTGCCTGCTGACCTTGGGAAGTTGCCATAGAAACAGGCTCAGAGGCTGGGGGGACGAGAGGCAGGTTTGTGGGGGGAGGGTGGGGTGCTGCCACTGCCATTACTTCCAGCCTGTTAGACACCCTGAATCCCAGCAGCTTCCTGAAGGCCACAGCGGGTGGCAGGTCAGGCTGCGGGGGTGGGTGTTCTGGCTGCGGTGGTCTTTGGGCCTGGTCGGTGGGGGAGACCTGCTCTGTGGGACTGCAATGCCCTCAGCCATCGGGGCTGGGTTGGAGGGTGTGACTGTGCATCCCCTCCCTGATTTTAAGGCGGGGGAGTGGGGGCTGTGGCTGAGAGTAGGGAAGAGCCTTGTCCCGAGTCCACTGAGCCGATGGAGCTTCAGCCCCTGCCCTGTGCTAAGCATCTGTCTGTGTTCCCATCCTTACTCTCCCACCCCCACAGTGGACCTGGAGGAGCTGAACTCCCCTATCCCAGGCCCTGCCCCTAGGAGGTTTGCAGGCTGGGGGTGCCGTGCGGTGCCTCTGTGGAGCAGCCTTTGACGGCGGTGTGGGATCCGTGAAGGGGCCAGAGCAGAGTGGCCCCTCAGTGCTTGGGCCATGGGGCTTCGAGTAGGAGTCTGGCAAGTAACATGGGGAGACAGAATGGGCAGAATGGGGTGGGTTCTTGAATCACGCAGTCCTGAGGTCAGTCTTGGCTCTGCCACGACCCCTGCCGCACCTCTGTCCTGGGCAGAGCCTCAGGCCTTCCCTGATCCTTCCAGGGACCTCTGCACTTCTCACCTCCATATGGGCAAACTGAGGTGTGGAGGGGTCATGAGGGTGCCTGGGTGCCCCGGACCCTGTTCATGCTCACGGGGTGTAGAGAGCACAGGCCTGCACACCCACACTGGCCCAGCCAGGTGATGGAGCTCCGTGTGCCCTCCCCAGCAAGGGGCCCCAGGACTAGGTTTTCTCCAGAGACCCTGGCGACTGTGATGCCACTTCTGGATCTCTTCATGGCCTTTCCACCAGCGCCAGGAGGTCCCTTCGGCAGTTCTAGGGGGTGTCACCTCCCAGCCCCCTGAACCTAGATGTCCTGGGAAGAACCGCTGGCAAGGCGTCTCCTTGGAGGCTCGGGGTGGGGGGAGTGGTGGGGCTTCCTTGTCACGGCCCTCCTCACTGTGGCCTCCTCACTGTGCCTCCTCACGAGGGCCCCACTCCATGGCACCCACCCATGATGGCCTCAGTGGAGCCCCCTGGTGTCTGCCAGATGCCCAGGCCTGTGGACAGGCGGGCACCCAGCAGAGGGGCAGGACCAGGGTGGGCATTGCCCACAGGCTCCCAGGGGCGCCTGAGCCCTTGCAGACCCAGGTGGGCGGGGCTCTTTGGAGAGGTGGCCTCCTGGCCTCCAGGTGGAGGTCCCAGGTGACTTGGGACATGCCGGCTGCGGAAGGGCTGGGAATTGGGGCTGCTAGCTGTGGCTGCTGGCCTCAGGCCTCAGCTGCTGCTGGCTCTGCAGGGCCCAGCCCTGGTTCCCTGATGGGACAGCCCCCCTAGTGGGTGAAGGTGAGGGCAGGTGCGGCCCACCATCCTCGTCACAGTCCAGCCTACGCCATCCCTGCATCCTTCGGGACAGGCCCGTGTGGAGTAATTAAGGGCCTCGCCATCAAGGCCAACTGCCTGTGAAATTACCTCTTCTTGTTTGGAACAGGTGATTTTTCTTCATAAAAAGGCAAAACCGTTTCCCTCACTGCTTCCACGAATCGATGACCAGTGCCAGGGAGCCTGGGAGGGCTGTGGGGTTGCGGGGGATGTCCACTCTCCTTTTCTCTCCCAGGCCTGCTCTGCGCTTTTCCTGGGAGCCAGGCCTGGGCTGGGTGAGCATCTGTCCCCAGAGCCCCCGCTGGTGGGGACATGGCTATGCATACTGACCAGGTGGGAGGGGGTTGGTTTCTATAGTAGCAGGAGGCACGGGGCGGGGGCGCCCAGTTTGGTGTATCAAGGCGGGCTTCCTGGAGGTGGTGTCCTGTGTGGATGGGGAAGGCTGTGTTTGCCAGTGAAGTGCTTGCTTTTCCAAGTCTTCCCCTCAGAGCCTAGCCGCTCTGATTTGCGTCCCTACTCCCCAGAGTGCCCGCTGCTCCCCAGTAGCACAGGGGTGTTTGTGCTTCTGGGCAAGGCACCTGTTTTGTTGTAGCCTGGGGTGGGGTGGACCCCCCACTGAACCATGCGGGTCCCTGCCTTTTATCCCTGCCCCACTGCTCAGAGACCAGGTTTGTGCCCCTGAGAGGCTAGGGGTCCTCGAGGGCAGGCCTGGGACCCCAGCACCCCCTGAGGCCCATACGGGTCCAGCTGCAGTTGTCTGGGGCGGGGGCGGGGGGTTGCCGTGTCTCATGGGAGTTTGTCCTAGTTTCACGGTGCCTGTGTTTCATCAAAGGGGAAAGTGATATTCCGGGGCCTCATTAATTGGTGTCTTGCCTTTGAGTCGTGCCTCGTGACACGAGCCCATGGAAGCATGCGCTGGGAGACTGAGGTGGCCTGGGGTGCAGCCTGTCAGCTCCCAGCTCCTCGGGGATCAGTGCTGGGCAGGGGGCGAAGGAGTGCCCCAAGTGAGGGCAGATCGTGGGGTGTAGACCCCTGGCGAGTAACCCTCCAGGCTCTCAGGGCTGGCAGAACTACAGAGGCCACCAGCACAGCGCTGTCCATGCGGCCCAGGGGCTGGATGTGCCCCACCCTGCATGACTGGGTGCACCCTAGGTCTGTGCTGTAGGCTCCTGGACCCTGAGATGACTACTGGAGGGGACAGAGCCTCTGTGGGTCATGCCCCTTTGCTGACGGGGCACAGCCTTGGCTTGGCCTTGGCCTCTGCAGCCCTGAGGCTCCAGCCTCAACCTCTCTCCGGTCTTTCTAGATGCCTCGCCAGTCAGTTACAGGTCCACCCCTGGCCTCCGTGTCCCCTGGAGGCTTGAGGGCGTGAGTGCAGGAGCTGGCTGGTTACCCGACCCTACCCGAACCTGGGAGGTGCCTGGGGGGGCAGGACCTGGTTGTATGGAACAGGTGAGGACAAGGAATGAAGAAGAGGTGCTGGCTCAGGCCTTGGCCGTGGCTGTCTGCTGACTTGTCCACTTGAGGGCTGGGCCAGGCCCAGGGCTGGTGTCACCATGCCCATTTGCAGATGAGAAAATGAGTCCAGGGCGCCTCCTTGTCCTTTATGAGGGTCCTCGGGACCACAGGCCAAGGCTGCAGTGGGCGACAGCGGGAAGAGCCCAGGAGTCAACACTCTGACAAAATCCAGGCCTGCTCCTGTCCCTGGCTCTAGACGGGCAGGTGGAGCCTTGCCTGCCTCTGGCTTCCATGGGCCCCGCCTGTCTCCCGCCTGTCTCCCGCCTGTCTCCCTGCTCCCCATGGTGGGTCACTCTGCAGTTTGGGGCATGGTGGCACTTCCAAGAAGTCCCTTCTTTCTTGGGCTCCTCATTCTGTGGACAGACATGCAGTTGGTGCCCAGGGACGGTATTGGCTTCCATCCTGCGCTGCTTTGCCATGTGATCCTGGACAAATGAGGACAAGGAACGCCCTGGAAGGCAGTTTTCCAGGTTTACAAATACATGGCTCAGGTGAGGTATTGGGGGGCTGTTCCTGACACCATGTGAGATCTGAGGGTCTCAGACACAGGCCCTGGCCCTTGGGATGGTGATGCCATGGCTGTGGCCAGCTGCGGCCAGGAACCCAAGTACCCGAGGCTGTGGGCTCCCCATGCCTGCAGGCATCTGGACACCTGGGCAGCCTGGGGTTCTGTTCCTGGGACTCTCACTCCTCCGCCCCTGCCTCGCCCACCCCTGCTCTGCTGAGGACCCTCCATGCATCGTAGATTACTTTTATTTTCCACAATGACACCTCACTAGGAGGAACGCCGTCCCTGGGGTCTCTTAAAAGACAGCTCCTATTAAGGATGAGGAGTTTAGCAAGTGCCAGCGGCGGATTGCCTGCGGTAGGAGGGCTGGCTCCTGGGTGCAGGCCCCGCCATGCTGGGTCCTTTTCAGGGTCCGAGGTAGGCTTGAGACGCCCTCAGGCTTTGGGAGGGGAAGGGCGGGGCCAGTCAGGCTTGAGGAGGAGCCCAGGCCGGATGGGGGACACCCCATTCGCGTTCATGCAGCCCTTAGCCGGGTGGCACCTGGCCACCTGCCCCCTCGGAGGCACTTATGGTTTGAAAGGGGAGCCCAGGGCCAGAGCTCGACCAAGGCCACCAGTGTGTGTGTTCCCTCACCCCTGATGCCTGGTGCTGTGTCTGGTAGCGGGGCATGAGCTGGGCTGG